GCAGGAAGGGTGGGGGTTAGGTAAGATTGAAGTGAAAGAGTGATATGATGGTCTCAAAGCAGAGCAAGGTTGTGAGTAATATTTTATAAACATTTAGTAATATTTTTACTAACATCAGGTCTGGGCTGAAAGGCAAACTTGGAGTCCTATTTCCTTGGATTAAGGTGGCGTGCTGTGTCTCCAAATCCTTTACTTGAAGGTCTGCACCTCAGCTGGAAATCAAGGCTGCTTCTTTGTGTCAAAGTGACCCACAGGCTCCCATCATCCAGGCAAGTGGCGGTGGGGGTGGGGGGAGGTTGGGGGGGAGGAGTCCATTCTCATTGATACTCAACTAAGTTTCCAACAGTCTATGATTTTAGAGAACAAGTTTTCTTAGCCCTATGTCCTTGGTGTTAATGAACAAAAGCAGTTTTTGCAGGTTCACATGAGTATGACAAGATGTAAAAGTAAGGTTTTTACTGAGGCCCCAAGAGACAGCAGATGTAAAATTCTCAAGTTGCCAGAGCAGGAAGCAAATCTCAAAGGAAATATCTTAGTTCCTTGTTGACTCTTAAAAATCTCTCACTCAAAATAAGATCATAAAAGGACAGCAGAAGTGGAGTTTAGGAAGTCTCTATGAGGAAGTTTTCTTCAAAGAAAGCAAGGCTGAGTTCTACCTAACCTCTGGTCCAGGGTTTTCCTCCTTAATCTCCCTGGGGAGGGGCATCAGGTGGCCATGAGGGCAACCTGATTTGTGTTCTCTCGGTTCTGAGAGTATCTGACTTTGGCCTGAGATATCCAAAATTGAGAGGCTGACAGTATTGGCTTGTGGCAGCAGGTTCAGAGAGAGAGAGAGAGAACAGGGAAGGATGAGAGAAAATACTCAAGACGCGTGTGCTCTGTCAGGTGCGTTTGAGTCTCGATGGGAGCGAAGTATGTACGAACGTTTCTTGAGGACCCTGAAGAGAGCCATTTGTGAGAGAGAGCTGTGCAGCTGATGTGGAAATCCTGGCCAAGAGCAACACCTGGAGAGGTGATCTACAGGTGAATTTGTAGAAAGTAGCCTAAGGGAGGAAGTAGCAGGCAGAGCAAACTGCATTGACCAGGACAGGAGAGACAGAGTGGGATGTTTCATGTTCAGGTCTCTAAGATTGTTAGAAAGCACCCAAGAGCGGCGCCTGGGTGGCTCAGTTGGTTAAGCATCTGCCTTTGGCTCAGGTCATGATCTCAGGGTCCTGGGATCCAGCCCCACTTCCGGCTTCCTGCTCAGTGGGGAGTCTGCTTCTCCCTCTCCCTCTGCCTCTCCCCCTGCTCATGCTCTCTCTCCGTATATCTCTGTCTCAAATAAATATATAAAATCCTTAAAAAAATTGTTAAAAAGAAAGAAAGAAAGAAAGAAAGAAAGAAAGAAAGAAAGAAAGAAAGAACCCAAGAGAGCGAGTGCTCGGTTTAGTCATTGGCCAGGCCCAGAGCAAAGTCTCCTTGCAGTAGGAACACTTGAGCATGAATTTGGTATCCTCCAACTTCTCTTTTCTCCCTATGTTATGAATTTGGAGGAGGTTCCTTTCCCCTTTCAGGGAGGACCCAGACTGCCTGCAAGGGATCCTAGCTGGGAGAGTACAGGGAAGGCCTATCCCTGAATGAAGCTTGAAGTGGTGAGCAAAGTGGATTGGCATTCACAATACAGTTTCTGAATTCAAACCGTATTTTATGGCTTTACTGATCAAAGGATTTTTATTACCTAAAAGTCATCAGAGAAGTTACAGGACCGCCCACATATTCATCTGAATAGGTATGGGAGGGACAGTGGCAGGTGGGGGTTCCCTTTCTGCTGGCATCCTGCTTGCTCTACGTGCTGGTCTCAGCTGAGCCGAGAGCCGTGCTCATGGAGAGTCGCCAACTTGGCCAGTGCTTTTGTTCTTCAAAGAAATCTATGTCAAGAGGTATACGTCACACAGGGAAATTGGGAATTAGTAGAAGACTTAAATGGGAATGACAGCTTGAAACTGGAAGACACAGGGGACTTGGTGTCTGGAAGCCAGCCGAAATAAAGAGATGTCAAGAAAGCTGGCAGTCACCATTGAAGACTTTGGCTTTGGCCTCTGGGCCTCCATCTTCGTGTGAAAGGCCAGGCAAAGACTGTCACTGAACAGAAAATGGGGCCCCACTGACTGACTACAGAAAACGTGGTGGGGCAGGATGCATGCCTCTCTGGCAATCTGTCCAGTGCCTATTCTCTGGGAAATCTCTGTGCGTGAAGAGAGGTGAGCCCCGGCAGCCATGTTGGCGGCCTCCACCCTCCCCACTCCTGCCACCTCCCTCACCACAGAGGGTGGGATAGAGCGGGGAGAGGCCAGGCGAGGCCACTCATATTCTCTCTCCATAGAATTTGGGATTGGGTCAAGGTTGTTGATTTAGTCGGGGCTCGGGGAGCACTGGGGTAGCTTTACTTTGACTCCTGGACTTAGGAGCCAGGAAAGCTGTTTTCCAGAGACCAGGAGAGTACAGAGAAGCGGGTTTGAAGATAGAAGAAACTGCAGCCAAGTTCCTCTTGTCTCTCAGGCCCTGGCTCCTGGCCTTCCTGGGGACTGACTTCTTTTTGCCCTTGGAATCTCGAAGTTACCTCTCTGTCTTTAGAACTGATTTTTGAACTCTATTATTAGGGCACAGAGATTACTTTTCAGTGGCTTTGAAGCATTGTGCCATGTATTTCGGTAGTTACATTTGTTATTTACTTTGTAATTTACTTAGTTGCTGCATCTTGTAATTCACCTGCCACTTCCAGCGGATGCACCGAGATACTTTGCTGTTCCCAGCATTTCCTCTGATTGGCCCTCCACAGTGGGGGCTTGCTGTCTTTTCTTATAGACATGTGCTAATGGCGTGAGTTCAACCTGTAAGGAGAAAGCCATACCCAGAAGCAGGGGGAGAAGCCAGAACTAGTAGGGCAGATCTCTAACTTCAAGGGCTTCAGCTCTGTCCTAATTCTGGCCAAAGAGGATTAATACTGTTAACTCATTACAGTCCTAAAAGGAATGTCATAGTTCAAGGTGGGCTGTGCACTCTATTTAATGACTTTTGTTTAAGAAACGAAGGCAAGGATGACGTGGAACAATAATCAGTCTGTTTCTTCTCCTACTTTGCTCAGCTCGTATAGTCTCAGAATGCTGTTTCTCACTGGATTTTTGTTTCCACATTCTGAGCTTATCCATGGTAGGCAAGCTTATGATGTGGGGAAAGTTGATTTTTTAATGCAATGGTTTCTAAGGCTTTGCATTAGATTTCCTTCTTCCCGACTGGGGTCCCAGGTTCCTCTGTTGTTGCTCCCTGGATCTAGAACCCTGTAGCCTTTCACTGGGGTGACTCCGGCTGAATCCGTGATTCCTCATTTCCTTCAGGATGATTTCCTTGGCCCCTTCTGGACTGTGTTCCCCTAGCACCTTGATTTCCCCATCATTTGTGCAGTAACATTTTATAGATCCACTTGGGTCCGTGTCATTCTCATTATTAGACCCTGACATCTAGCTGATCCCTGGAAAATAGTTGGTTCTTCCTAGATCTATGCCTGATACACTGGCTTGGTGAATTAAGGCCCACTTCTTTGGACTCTGAAAAAGGTCTTCTCTTTGTTCCTACAACATCACTTTTCTTCCTCCTTCAGGACCTTGGCTCTTGCTGTTTGCTAGGAATGCCACTGCCCTCGAGTTTTGCATAGCTGGCATTTTCTGATTTAAGTGGCAACCCAGAGTAGTTCTCTCTCCCTTTCCAAATTCAAGTAGTGCTTCCATCCCTCGGCTCACTCTTTTTTCTTCTCTGTCTTTATTCCTTTCTGTAAATGTATTCGTTTACTAGTTCATTATCCTTCTTTTACGGATAAATAGCTTCTGGTCTGCCTTGTTCAAGACAATACTTAGTAGAGTGCCTAGTTCATTGAAGGAACTAGAATTTGATGATTAATGTTATTGCACGTTTGTTGAGTAAATGAATACAAGAATAATTTTTGATATAAATGATTCAATCCCAAAGAAAGATGTTAGTGGTGGAATTTCAGGCATGATTGTGGAAAAAAAACTTTTGGAGTGTTTTCTTTCCAATTTGTTCATAGTAGACAGTGCTAAGTTTTTTTTTTTCTCACATATTTAAACATATTTAGATCTCAACACTAAGTTACCTGCTTAGAATACGCTGGGACACATATTTTTAGACTATCACTTAAGATTCCATTTATTACAAGGGTTCTATAAAAAATGTGTTAGGTAATGAGGTTAATGTCCTTCAAAGGAGTTTTACCTTTTTCTCAGGAAAAAAGAGGATTTGCTCTATTCTTTGTATTGAGTTTCTTGTCCTTCTTTTCAAATTCATGTTCACCTTAATATTCATTTCCTTCCTTAGGTTTGATTTTTGTCCATTTACATTTTTTCACTACTATTTAATTTAGGGAGTTGTTAGGGGAAGTGCTTTATTTCGAACAGTCTATTTCAGAACCTCATGGGAATGGCAGGAAGAACAAACAGAATAGTAAGGCAGCCAGAGTTAAGGGAGTGTGGTCCCCAGGTGAGTTATGCTTCACTCCCTTCTAAACTGCCTAGGATAATACGAGGCTTGCCTACTATGGTCTGAGAGCTCAGATTGCTTAACTATAAGTCATTGATCCTTGTCTCCCCTCTCCTCCCTCAGCTTTCAGTTTTCAAAGTCTAAGTCACATCTTGAAATTTTGTCACATTCCTTTCTTATAATTCCCTACATTAGTTGAGTTTTCCGATTTGTATCTTCTCAACTTCTCTCCGTATACTACCCTTTTTGGTTTTTGTGTATACTTTATTTTGTCCTTTGGATTCTAAATTCTTCCTGTCAGGGAGTTTTCCTATAAATCTGTTTACAGCGTGGTGCATTCTAAGTATGTCCCATACGGAACACAAGTAAAACGGAAAAAAAAAAAAAGTTACGCATAATTTTGCCAAGAGTGAAAACATTTTATGCCTTTTCTTTGCACAGGACAATTTCCTTCTGAATCTTATGAAGCATTTAAAAAATACCCAGGAGACCTCTCTAAAGCCAAGCAATGTTAAAGATTAGCTGTTATTCATCAAGTTCATACGGGAATGAAAGAATCGCTCGCATCTGGCAAAGAAACCCGGGTATCCGAGGTTTTGCGCTTCAGAGAGGGTACAGGTCCATAAATCAGCCCATTCTGCAGCCACCTGGGAACAGAGCGGGTGGGGCGGAGCTTCCGTTGATTGAGGGGCGAAGGAGAGGAGCTAGAGAGTTCTCACCAATCAGAGTTCTGCTTTGTTTTCTCTTACCGGCCAATGAGGGAGCTCTGCTGGCGAGGCTGTCTTCAAGTCCGAGCCACCCACCTCCATCGCAGCCTATCAGCAGACCGCTTTTACGAAGCATCCGCGGAGCTCCCGCCCCGCGGGCGGAGCGGCCCTGCCCCTTCCCGCCCCTCCGGCCGTGGCCCCACCCTGCCGAGGGAGGGGGCCAAGTCGGTTACTCACTGGGCTGGAGGTGGGGGCCGGGCTCCCGCTGGGCTCGTGCGTTCTGCGCCCGTCGAGGCGGTGCCGAGCCCGCTGGCTCCTGATTGTCCTTTGCGGCGGCTGCGGTCGCTGCCTCTTTGCCTCCCGACCCAGGGCTGCAGGGGCCGGAGCGATCGCGCCTCCCGCGGGCCACGGCTGCCCAGAGCAGGTAATGGGGCGCCGTGGCTGCACCCCCTATCCGAGCACCGGTGCGGCGCGGGCGGTGGGGTCTGCTCCCCTTGCTGCTCCCGCGGGCGGCAACCTGGCCGAGCCGGGCCGCGTCACCCGAGCCTCCCGCCCGCCTCAAGGCGCCTCCGCCCGGGAGCCCGCGGCGGCGGCGGCGGCGGCGGCGACACCTTGCGGGGAGGTGGGGGCGGGGCCGGGCGGAGGGGGAGGGGCGGGGTCAGCTGCCGGCGGGACCCCTTGGGGACTCGGAGTGAGGCGGCTGGGCCCAACGGAGGGCTCGAGAACGTGCAGGTGGAGGAAAACTGCGGAGTTGAGTCAGAGTCAGGCTCACGAGGGAAAGGGACCTACTGATAAGTAACGATAAGCTGAGTGGCTTTTTTTTTTTAAGCCAGAAAGGTGTCTTGGGTATTGTTAATTACATATTTTCTGGAGGCAGGCGCATTGCAGTGCCATTTACACATTAACACTGTTTACTTGTTATTTATTATTTTTTAAATTAAGAGCAGTCTTTAACGTGAACGTGTTTGGGGACTTTTCCTTAAGTGACAAGTAGACCCAGCAGTGTGACTCACCTTTGTCTGGGCTGAAGTGGGGAAGGTGCAATAGGAGTGAGGGGGAGGAATGTTGATGAGGAATGCCTGCGCAGATTTCAAAGGATTGTGGGGGTGGAACCTTGTTTCTGTCACTGTGTCATGGGTGGGAGTAGAATTGTGATTCTTTTTTCTTCTTCTAATTTTTTTAAACATTAGCATTAAAAAAAAAAAAAAAAGCTTCTCTAAAAACAATTTCAGGGTTTTAGGTTTTAGGAATGCACCTGCTTGGTACTCATGCGGTAATACTTTGCAGACGAGCCAGACAATTTATTACAAATTTGCACCTTGAATTGTTATTACCTTTTCTTTGACTTGCTTAATAACCTTTGTTTTCATTCACTATTTGTTCACAAGTGAAATGGTGAAGGTCACCGGGTTTGGGCAGTAATGGCACCGTGAGAACTCTTGGAGCAGTGTTCTCGCTTCTAGGTGCACTCCAGTTCTCACCAGTACAGGTTTTCCTTGCTATCTGAAAACACAGCGTTCCTATGAAATCTTTTCTAAACCGAAGCGCTGCAAAGCAAAAAAACCCACTTACTATTAATGTATATGGGAAATTTTTTTAGTGTTACCCCCCAAAAACCTCTTAGGCTTTCTGATACCTTAGAATACATTTTGCTAATGTCAAATAAGTCAAGATACAGCACAGATGCTCAGACAGAGGTCAGAGCTGCTGGGGGCTTGATGCTGAGATGCTGAGTGGAGTTCCCAGGGAAGGAGCTTGGTTCTGCCACTCTGGCTGTTGCCGGGTGTGTGCTGTCTCTATACCAGCTGATGCAAAACAAACACCTCTGTGGGTTTCTTTCAGTTAGTGCAAAGAGATAGTAAGGTCTGTCGTAAAAGCAAAGTAGTGTAACATGAGCTTGTGAAAAACGGGGGATACCTGTATTTCCATTTAGGTCTTTTAATTGAGACTCTCACAGACTGTCAGTTTTTTAATCCTTCTATTGGGAGGTAGGTAGTGCATATCATGTCTATTTTACAAGTACATAAAGTGAAAAAGCCTTAGAGATGAGGAGAATTCTGCCCAGGTCACCTGACTCCTACTTTATTTTGTACCCATAGTGGATTTAATCCAGGATCTACTAAGGTTCCCACCATCAAGTAAGCTTCTGTATACCGATTTGATCATGTGGTACAAGAATCACAGGTGGAGATGTTTTTTTCCAAGTAAAGAAATAGTGTCTCTTAGGTCCCCCCCCCCCCCCCCGAGGTTGTTGAGATAGTTTGAATCACACCAGAAAGGTAATTTTTCACACAGGCAAAACAAAACAAATTCCTAGTGGTGCTATGTGAAAATCTCTATTTTAAATTTTGGGGAGATTTTCCAAATTAGAGAACCCTATCTTATCTATGTTTGCATCTGTAGCTTAGCAGTGGACTTCAGTACTGTTTTCTGAGTTGAATTGAAATGATTAATATGCATAAGGCAAATAAAAATGAAGCATGATGCATTCTGGTCATGACTTGGGGCTTGGGAAAGGTTAATTATAAATTTAGTAGAAAAGTTGAAAATGTAAAAATCATTTATTTCTCAGAATAGTGCAAACAAAGGAGTTTGGGGGTTAATGAAGAGCAGGCTTAGATGGCTAGTTGGCAGGAACCTCTCGAATGGTGTCAAGGCTTGGGGAATTCTGGAGAATTGCTAGGTTATGTTGAACTAATTAGTCATCAGGAATATGGAAATGTCTTATGAATTACTGAATGGAACTGTTCTAATCATGAAATTGTCCCTTTTCATGCGTCTGTATGCCATTTGGACATAACTTATTCTTGTAAGATATAAGGCATAGCTTATATAAGCCCTATCCCTGATTCGATTTTTTTGCATTAATGTCTTAATTTTTACTCTCCTGTCAAAATTTCTAGCGTCCAGGGATTTCCATTAAGAAACCTTTATCAATTTGTTAGTTTGTACAGGAAATGAGTCCTCTCTTAAGAACACAGCCCTCTTGCAGTGTGGGAAACTGGAAAGAGATTTAGGCTGTTTGTATAGTATTGTATTCTTACCTAGAGTTTCTGTCCTTTAAAAAAGAATGTTAATTACGATGTTACACAACTTCCACTAGGTGGTGCACTGGGTGCTACTCAATGCAGAGTTCAGTCAGATGTTTTTTCCTTATTACAAGCATTTCACTGACAAAGATACAAATGTACTGTAACTGTTTCTGTTGTAATTATAGTTCAGACAGAATTGCAATGAGTGATTTGTCAGTTTCATTAAGTGAGATTATTTGGAAGGAAACGACAGCTTAATTTAAAGTGAAGGACACTTAGCAATTTTAGGAATAACTTCTAAAAAGCTCTCTGATTCTCCCTGTGATCAGGAACGCACACCAGAGGGTGGATTTTTGGTCCTTGTTTATGTACACTTGAACTTTTTTTTTAATGGCTGTTTTGTTTAAATCTTATGTGAACTCTTAGCTATTTGACTAGTTTCATGTTTTGCTTTCGTTGATTATGGATTCCTTAAAACGTGGTAGAATAAAGTAGGTACATATAACAAGATTACTCAAATCTTGAATATGAGTGAATACTTAAGTTATAAAAAAAAATTTTTTTTTCTAGGCGTGTAACAGTTTTTCTTTCTTGAATGCTCACATAATCTATTTAGGGGAACATTATTATTTTCAGCTTACTTATAAAGGAGAGGGGATCATCCTCCCTCTGACTATAGGAGCTTACGGGCTTGTTTATTACTGATTAATTGCTGTTATTGTTACAGAACGGGGATGAGAAGATAGCTGTTGCTTTCATAAGAAGTACCCGTTTTGGGTATAGAAATGGCAGTGTTAGTGGAGAATAAGGACTAGTTGGGACGATTGCATTTTTGGAGATGTTTTACAGAAAGCTTTGGGCTTTTAAAAGGCAGGATAAGAATTTGAATGGGAAGGTCTGAAGGTGGTTGGTGTGTGTGTGTTTCAGTTCCAGTGAACTCTGTGTAGGGAGGAGGGCTTTGGTAATCTGTTTCTTGGAACTACCTGTGGTTCTAGGGCGGGGAAATTAATGGTGTTTTGGGAGAGGGAAAATAAATAGGTGCCATTCCTTCCAGGAGGGTAGCTCCTGCCAGTGCCGCCAGTCTTGGGTGAGCTGGGGTGTGGAAAGGTGGATGGTTGTAAGTAGTCAGGCAGATTAAAAACTGCCTGAGTGTGGGCTTCTTAGAGCTCTTTGCACCTTTGACGACTTGAATCAAGTCAATATGCATTTTAAGTCAGGTTTCTAGCTATCCCACCATACAGACTTGGGCAAGTTAACTCTTCAGTCTTCAAATTTATGTTTTTAATTTTTAAAATAAGTAGAATCCTGAACTTTATGAAATTAATTTGAGTATGCAGATGAATAGCTTAAAGGAGTTTTTTGGCATAGAGTAGGTTCTCAAATTATGGTAGGTGCTTGAATCTCTACATACTTCTGATACTCTGTCTTCCACTACCTTAAAAAAAGGTGTTAATAGAAATAGACAAATTTAAGTACTCGTGGAGGTGTATTCCTCAAACTGAGGACTTGAGTTGGGGTAGGAAAGAAGGCTCCTGGTCTAGATATTGCTTTGAATAGAGAAAAGTCAGGTAGGATGCTGTAAAGGGGTCTAGGTAAGGGGTTGGGGTGATGTGAGCAGTTTTTGCACTCCTGTGTATATGCACTAGCGTATCTGATTAGCTTGTTAAAAACGTGTTTGGAAGATGGTGCCTCTATGTGTTTATTTAAAGCAATTTGAGGGGCGCCTGGGTGGCTCACTCGTTAAGCGTCTGCCTTCAGCTCAGGTCATGATCCCAGGGTGCTGGGATCGAGTCCCGCATCGGGCTCCCTGCTAGTGTGGAGCCTGCTTCTCCCTCTGCCTCTGCTGCCCGCCCCCGCTTGTTCTCTCTCTCTCTCTCGCAAAAGTAAATAAAATCTTAAAAAAAAAAGCAATTTGAGTCTTGAGAAACAAATATTTCTGAAGGTTATAACCTTTTCTTTTGGCAATTGGAAGTTTGTTGATGGGGTGTTGTAAAAATCTAGAGTTGAGCCAGAGGTAAAAAGGCTTATGGAGCTATGGACCAAGATTTGTCAAGCTTCTGCTGCTGATATTCAAAACGTTTTTGTTTTCTTCCTAATATGGCTTCTGATTCAACTTCTGAGGATTCTGTTTGGACCTCTGTGCTCTTTTTCATGTTTGGAATTTAAAATCCAGTTCCTAGTAAGGCCCCTCAGAGTAGACTTTTTTTTTTAGATGGTTGAATCAGGGTACAGATTGGACATTTTGTCAGGCTGGGGGAGGAGTTGCTGGGTCTTGAAAAATGAATGAACATAATTTTGATTTATTTAGAGTCATTTTAAATAGGATTGAAAGTTTACGTTGTGAAATTTCCAAGACGGTCATTTCCCCTTTAATGTACATACACTGAGTGTG